TAAGAGCCAAATCTTTGGAGACTGAAAGAAGACTAGTGTTTACCTAAAGCCAGGGGCACAGGGAAAATGAGTTGCCAGTAACTGTTAAAAGACAAAGAGTTTCTTTTACGAATGATGAGTATGTTCTACAATTGACTGTGGTGAACGTTACATAACTCTAAAACAATTGTCTTATACATTTTAAATGGGTGATGTGGATGGTATCTGAATAAAGCTAATTAAAAAAAATGGGTGGAATCACTTTCCTAAAACAAAGATGTGAACTGTACTTTTGAGCAAAATGTTGGTGCAGCCATTTATCATAATGACCAAGAGAATGAGCATAGCTTTGTGTGTGTGCGCCTGTGCAGGTGCATGTGCACATATGTGTGCATGTGTAGGTCACAGGTTATCATTGGGTATCTTCTCCAGCTTATTTTTTGAGAGTGTCTCTCCTGAACCCGGAGTTTACCAATTCAGCTAGAATGGCTTGCCAGCAAGCTCCAGGGATCCTGCAGTCTCTGCTGGGATTACAGAAACGTACTACCACCCCTGGCCTTTTTAGCTTGGTGCTGGGGATTGAATTTGGGTCTCCATGCTTGAGTGGCAAGCACTTTACCAACTGAGCCATCTTCCCAGTCTCCTGTGGTTTTCATTATTAAAAATAAAGGACTGGCTGGGCGTGGTGGCGCATGCCTTTAATCCTAGCACTTGGGAATGGATCTCTGTGAGTTCAAGGCCAGCCTGGTCTAGATAGTGAGTTCCAGGACAGCTGGGGCTACAGGGAGATGCTGTCTCAAAAAGACTGAAAAAAATAAAATAGAATAAAAAGGATAGATTTACCAAAATTTCTCATCTGAAACAAGAGCTTTCGCTACTTGAGGAAGGGAGACAGGATGGGGTCAGTTCAATGTTTCTTAGAGGAGTGGTAAATGAGAACACAAGGAAAATGTTTCCAAAAACATTTATGTATATTACTATTCATATTTTACAATGAAAATACTGCATACAAATGTAATTTTCAAACTGTGTGCATATTTGAAATAAAAAGTTTTTCAAATGGGAAATGAAACTTATTCTGATTGCCTATTACACTCTGGCATCTGGCAGATGTTTTTTAAATGACTGTTCCTATTTGACAATGAAACAGGTTCTTTACATGACATTAAGTTCCTTTTATGAACAAGCATGTTCATAGAATAGTTTTTAAAAGTTAAAAAACATAATACTGACCCTCCTGAACATTCTAAATACCCTTAATTTATGTAAATACATAGAATGTGGTGTAATATTTTCATTTACTCACTCAGCAGACATTTATTAAGCACCTATTGTGTTCTGTATATATAGCAATGAACTCATAGACATCAAGTCATAGACCACATGTTCTTATAATGGTAAGTAGAAAAACAGAAAAGTAATGAATGGAACTAAGTGCTATAAAAAGAATTAAACATATGGTATATTAAGAAATGACTTGATTACTTTTAATTGGGTTGACAGAAAATGTCTCTGCAAGGTAGTGATACTTTATCATAGATGGTCTTCATCATCTTGAATAAGGGACCGGTATTGTTGGTGGGAACAGGTAAGTAGTGTAAAGCCGAAGGGAATAAAGGCCACTGTAGGATAAAGTGGATGATAGGGAAGGAAAATACAGCTAGTGAGGCAGACATGAACAAAATAAAGGGCTTTATAAATGAGGTTGTCGAATTTGATGACTCCCTACACCAAGACCCACAGTGTTTTATACAGGGGATAAAACAAGATTTATGTAGCGCCTATCTGGCTGCAGTGCCAGGGAAGGAATGCTAGCATTGTTGAGTATAGTTGGTGTACAGCAGGTGAGATGATGGTATTAACTAGCAGGTGCCAACATTAGAAATGAGAAAAAATGAAGAGGAATGCCGGGTACATTCTGGAAGCAGAGTTGAGGGAATCTGTTGATGGGCTGGCTGTATTTTAGAGATGAAAGAACTTAGGGATGAGTCTTCTTAAACAAACTTGCAGCACCTTTGGACAACATGAACTTACCTCTTTCATAAATTGTTCAAATTCTTCATCCAACTCTTCTTTGGAATAGCGAGCCATAGTCAGTAATTTTCCCTTCCCGAAGCAAGCATTCTAGAAGTATTTACAGCACTGGAAACACTAAAAGACAAAAGATGAAAAGCCCCTTTTGAGTAAAATCCATCCCACTGTGAACGCAACCCTACTTAAATTTCAGAAATCTCACCATCTAGGGTAGCATCAAAGCAAACCACCTTGGAAAAGCAGCCTGTCAGGTCTCATGCTTCCAATTTCATCCAGTTGTTCGGAGGTGGGCTCCAAGATATTTCCAGCTTTATACATATTGTCTGTGATAACACCTCAGAAACCAGATCTTGACAGAGAATCTTAAAAAAGAAAAATTATGCTACGAAGCGGAGACGACCATTTTTTCTTAGAAAGCATAGCATTTTTTTTGTGTGTGTGTGTGTGTGTGTGTGTGTGTGTGTGTGTGTGTAGCTTGATTCTGCCAGTTATTTCACCAATTTAAACGAATAGTTCTGCAAAACGGACTTTCCAGAAGTCTGGATGTTTCCCCAGATATAAAACAAGTGAATTTATAAGACTCAGAATACAATATAAAGTTGGTGATGCCTACCTGAATTCCTACATTCAAAAGGCAGCGACAAGGGAATCCTAAGCTGGAGGTCAGCTTGGGCTACATAGTGAGTTCCAGGCCCAACCTGAGCTACACTAGAGATCCTGTCTCAAAACACCGAAAGAAAACAGGCACAAAACTCTCCTGAAAGTTAATAGCGGGCACAAGTCACTACGAATTCCTTCTTTTGAAACAAAGGCTGACAGGCTAGGAAAAAAAAGCCCTGAATGCGGTCAGTGGGACCCAGCAAGTTGACCCGGTCCACGAGCCCATCTTCAGGTCAGGCTTCCACGACACTCCTTCCTTGCAGCGCAAACCCGGCTTTTCTTTGGCAGGGAGCCAGAGCCGGGTGTCTAACACCTTCCCCACTGCAGAGCAAGAGCCAAACCTTCATCTACGTTTTCGACCTTAGCAGGGAAATAAAGGCCCGGTCCGAGGCACAACCGAGCTTCCGTGGCCACTACCCACCTACCTGAGCAGCGGAGCGCGCCCTAGCCCGGAAGGCCTTGAGGGCCAGCTGTTGCCAGGGCAACGGGCCTCAGCTGGCGGGATCTGATGTCACATGACCCGGGCCAGTCACGTGCCCCGAGGGTGCAGCAGGAAGGCTGTGACTCGGGTGACTTTGCAGGCAAAAGACTGAGAATCTCTGCGCCGCAAGACGGGGTGCCAGTAAGAACCGGGGTCCTGGCAGCAGAGCGCACTCCCAGCTTTCCCTCCGGGAAAAGCCAGGCGCCTGGCCGGCCAGACCGCGGACGTATGCGCAATGCGAAGCTAGCGCATGGTTTCCTGGGAGTTGTAGTTTAATTGACCTGGTGCTACTACTTTTATTTGGGCAGCAACGCCTTCGGCCTTTCCCGCCCTTATTATTTTAACGCACTTTTCCAGGATGAAGGCTCTTAAAACAATTTATATATTAGATTTCTTTCACATAGGAAGCTATGTGTGGGCGTTGTGAGAGAAACACAAACCTGTGAGAAGGAATTCTGACGTTAGGCTATGAGTCTTCCTCCACCTAGTGGACAAGTAATTGAAAATACACCAACATCAAGATTCTTACTAAAACGCGCTCCACTTAGAATCTCTGGTTCATGTTTACTGCTTTTCAAAATTCCATTCTCTAATCTCTCTCTCTCTCTCTCGCTCTCCCCCCTCACTCTCTCACTGGAATCTCAGACAGTATCATTTAGGACAGTGATACCATAACTGACAAACGATTGAGAATGTTGCCTTACCTCATTTCTAAGCTGAACTTTTCATTCAACAATGTGTACAACTATTCTCCCATAAAGATATAAATAATGAGACATTTTAGGTTATCATTTATTGAGCACTTAATGGGAGCTTTACCTGCTTTATTTAACATAATTCTTGAAATTTACAAGGCGATTTAATTCAGTTTATTTACAAGTCAAGTTAATTCGGTTTATTTACAAGTCAATTCACTTTAGTTTCCAATACATACTGGATGAACACATCAACATTTTCTCTTCCCTAAAGACTTTGGTGCAGTGGAACAGATTGACAAGTAGCCCAGACAATTGCCAAGGTAGTACAGTGGAAAAATTACTGTGACACTTAATATACCACAAACTGAGAAAGTCTGGGAACTTTTCCACCTGAGGCACAAGTTGTGGTCTAACATCAGTCTTACTTGATATATAGTTATTTTAAAAAAATTATTTATTTAATAACCACATAATGAGAAGAAGCATTTCATTACAACAGCATTTCATTATTAAAATACACAGTTTCATACAGAAAAATTCATTTTTAATGCAATTGACACTAAGATGTTTGCATATGCGTTTCTAATCTCTATATATCTGATTATTACTAGTCACAGTTGGTTACTTTCTGAGCTCCTTGACATCTGAGCATGGATATAAAGTCATCAGGTATATTTCAATGGTAATGTTTTTCACATCTACTAATTATTAAGGAGCAAATTTTTATGCTATGAAGAATTTTTAAAAATTTTTTAAAAATTTAATAACCACATGATTAGGAGAAGCATTTCATTACAACTTTAACATATTCAGTAACAACACACTCCAGAGCAAGGATACATCTTTTTCAAAAGTGGCTGTAAATTTTTAGGTTCACAGTTGAATCAATACAGTTATATAATATTGAACTCAGTATAAACCCTGTAAGATATAAAATTGAATGAGTTTTTACCCTTTAAAGAAGATCACCGTT